CTTTATTTTAATCTTTCTCCAAAGAGAGTTTAAAAAAAAATTTCAAGGTTACAATATGCCCAGTGTTCTTGCCACTAGTCAAAACCAATTTAATTCTCTTTAATTAACTATTTTATTAGTACTCTTCTGTTTAAAATAGGAGACCTGGTGGTATAGTAGCTTACTCATTAGGCTCCTAATAAGGTCAGCATTTCGAACTCATCAGGCATTCCATGGGAGAGAGATGAGGTTTTCTATTCTCAAAGATTTATAGCCTCAGAAACCTACTCCGTCCATAGAGTCATTGTGAGTAGAATTGACGCAGTGCTGGTGAGTTTTTTTATCCCATACAGTACTTCTAGTGTTGGGTTAATGATGATACGGGCATGACAATCATTCATCCATGTCTTGCCATAATTCCAGTTATAGATGCCATGTCTATAGGCCATCCCATCCAAAAAGTAGTTATTGGCGAGATTTTCAATGTGCCTCACCTCTTAAAACCTTTCAAATTTATACATAACCCCCCTGCTTTCCAACAGATAGTCATCCCTTCATGTCTATTCAGGCAGTGTCCAACACATTGTATGTCCACAGTTCCTTAAGGTTTCTAGGTTGTTTGTTTTTTAAAAGGAAAAGCAGCTCTCCGATTTATTATTTCCCCTACTGGTTTTAAAGATCCCAAAGCCAGGCCTTTGTAGCAGTACTGGACCCCACAGGTGAAAAGCAGGTGGGTGAAGGCACAGGACATCGTTCTAGGCTTTTGAGCTGTGTCCAGCAGGCAGGAAAGTGGCAGCAAGGACTATGAGGCAGGCAGAACAGTGACGGGTAGCTCATTCACCACTTTTTCAGCCACCCCTGCTGTAACCCATGCCTCCTGCTCTGCCAACAGCTCCAGCAGAACACTGGCAGGATAGTAATAGCTACAAAGATGAACAGATGTGGGCAGCCATAAAATTATGATGTTCACATTACATCTTACTTCACAAAAAGTGTTGTGGACATTGAACAACAACTACCTATAACTAAATAAGAGCAATGGAGGTAAAAGCACTATAAGCTGTACAGCTGAGTGAGTGCATTTTGGACACTTTTTTTTTATGACAAAACCAATAGTGTAACAGGTAAGCGGAGACTAAATAAACTGCTTTTGATCATGGTCTTTTAGTTATCCTCCTTACCTGCTTGATGAATTAGTTAACTAGATTTAACAGACACTAAGGTTCTGTCAAAAGGTCGTATTTCTTTTTTAAGATCATTTTATTGGGGGCTCTTACAGCTCTTACGTTAATCCATGCATCACTTGTATTAAGCATATTTATACATATGTTGCTATCATTTTTTTTAATCATTTTATTGGCGGCTCGTACAATGGTTATCACAATCCATCCATACATACATTGTGTTAAGTACATTTGTACATTTGTTGCCATCATCATTCTCAAAACATTTGCTTTCTTCTTGAGCCCTTGGCATCAGTTCCTCACTTTTCCACTCCCTCCCCATTCCCCTCTCCCTAATGAATCCTTGATAGTTTATGTTATTATTATCTTGTCATATCTTATACTGTCCGACGTCTCCCTTCACCCACTTTTCTGTTGTCCATCCTCCAGAGAGGAGGTTATATGTAGATCCTTGTAATCGGTTCTCCCTTTCTACCCCATCCTCCCTCCACCCTCCCGGTATCGCCACTCTACCACTGTTCCTGAGGGGTTCATCTGTCTTGGATTCCCTGTGTTTCCAATCCCTATCTGTACCAGTGTACATCCTTTGGCCTAGCCGGATTTGTAAGGTAGAATTGGGATCATGATTGTGGGGAGGAAGCATTTAAGAACTAGAGGAAAGTTGTATGTTTCATCGTTGCTACACTGCACCCTGAATGGCTTATCTCCCTGCAACCTTTCCATAAGGGGATGTCCAATTGCCTACAGATGGGCTTTGGGTCTCCACTCCACACTCCCCCCTCATTCACAATGATAGGATTTTTTGTTTTGATGGCGCCTAATACCTGATCCCTTCCACACCTCGTGATTGCACAGGCTGGTGTGCTTCTTCCATGTGGGCTTTGTTGCTCCTGCACTAGAGGGGCCACTTATTTACCTTCAAGCCTTTAAGACCCCAGATGCTCTATCTTTTGATAGCCAGGCACCATCAGCTTTCTTCACCACGTTTGCTTATGCACCCATTTGTCTTCAGCGATTGTATCATGGCGGTGAACACACAATGATTGCTTCTGAGCTTGATGGCCGCTTGTTTACCTTCAAGCTTTTAAGACCTCAGACGCTATATCTTTTGATAGCCGGGCACCATCAGCTTTCTTCACCACATTTGCTTATTCACCCGCTTTGTCTTCAGCTATTGTGTCGGGTTATTCCACTTCTTAAGAACCTGCAAAATAAATCTGAAAAATATAATAAATGGTAACTTGAAAGTGTATGCTTATATCACATGTGAAAATTGGGTAGTTACACTGTTTACTTGAAATTTTGCTTCCCAAACTCAAGATTGTATATTAGTGTATGGAAAAAATTCCATTTTTACATCGTGTCAATTTTTTAAACTTAAAACACAGCAGGAGTGAAATAGAAAGTACTATATTTTGTACCTGGTAATAATATATATATTTTATATAATAATGACGTGTCTTAATGAATAGATTTCATATTTTCTGTGTATGCACAGCTCACACTTGCATAAAACACATTTTATTGTGTGAAGAGCATCATGTTATCAGAAATCTGTAGAAATTTTAAATCAATGGATAGATTGTAGATTGTGTCGAACAGCCAGATTGGGGCTTTTATGTAGTGATTTCTTGCTAGGAAAAAAAATGTTCTGTAAGTGGTCTTAATCAGTTCATAATGACTTTCTTGCCAACAGGTATAAACATTTTTTTAGATGGCTATGTTCCAACAGAAAACTTGAGATTCCGAGACGCATCACTTGTTTTTAAAGTGGCTGAGACAGCGAATGAAGAAGAGGTTAAAAAAATGTGTATGTATAAGTATCCAGGAATGAGGAAAAAGATGGGAGAGTTTGAATTAGCAATTGTAGCTGGCGAATTTACTGATTCTGAAATCATGGTGATGCTAGGGGAAAATGGTAAGTTTTTTCTTATTTTGTGCTCATTTGAAATTGATTATGTAGTCACACTCAGTCCTATCTATTCTATAAGACACTGTGACTCAGGTGTAGGACTGGGAGCTGGTTTGAGGCCTTAAGATTTCATGATACCGCATGTGTTAGACTTGGTTCACTAGAGAAAATCCAGGGACACGTGTAAGAGCTTTATATCAAATAGCAATTGTATATTGAGAAAACATCCCAGCCCTGTCCACATCAAGGCCATAAGTCTGATATTAGCCCATAAGTCCATTACTAGTCCATAAATCCTTCTTCAGACTCAATTAGTCACATTGAATCATCTAAAATGTAGGAAGATCACAGGCTGGTGGGGGAGAAATCTTGTGGATCCAATGGCTGGGGAAGCATTTCAGCGCTGGTGTGGGTCTCTGATGGCCCCTCCAGTTCTCCAAGTGTGGCTTTTCAACAGGAAGGGGAAGCAAAGAGAGGGAGAAAGGTTCTCCGTGGGGCTTGTCAATGGGAAGATGAAGTCAGAGAGAGCGTGGACCCACCTCCAGGGAGAAAGAGGAAGTTCCCAGACATCCTCAGGCTGTGACCTGATTGACAGGCTAAACTCCACCCCTTCATTTTTAATACCCTCAAGTTGATGCAAGATTATATAACTACCACACAGCTTTATACTTCTGACAGTATATAATGTCATAAACTCAAGTTCATAGTTCTTATTTTATAACTTTCAGTCAAAATAACAGGGTTTTTTTTCTCCCTTAGCTGGTCTTTATATAAATAAGTTGATGGGCATTTATCTTGAATACTAACTAGGGAGGAAAGGATAAATTGATAGTTAAAAAGCAAATAAAATTTTTGTGCCCAGCTCTATTTGAAGCTTTCCTTGTCTGGAATTTAAGTTAGTTTCCCTCTGTATAAATAGCTGTGTTGCCATCATTTTTAATATTAGATGCCATCAAGAATATAGATGTTAGATGCAATTGACTACAAATAATCTATTACTTTCGTAATTTTTTTAAAAATTCCACAAAATAATACCTGCCAAACAATAAAAATGTTATTTAAGATAAAAATAAAAGATTTGCATTGTAATCTCTAATAACCTATAAAACTTTTTTAAAGGTCTAATTTCTAAGATTTAATTGGATTGTGGTTAATATTTTATATAAATATTAAAATGAAAATAAATAAAATGGTACTTATAAAATATTCTATGCTGTGCGTGTTGATTTTTTTAGTTGAATATCTTTTAAAAATAAAACTAACCCAAGATTTGGGTCACACTTTGTAAGACCTATACCCATTAATTGAAAGTATTATTTTAAGCATTATTCGATATATATGCTTCCCAATTAGTTCGTGTAGATACATGAAAAGGGAAAAAAAGTATGGTGTGGTAATAATTCCTTTTGTAAGAATTAATAGCCAAACTAGTCCCAAGGAGTTGGAATCTGAAAAAAACCCATAAGTTCATTTCTTGCAAGATGCTAGTCTGTTCCACCACCCCACCCCACCCCCGACTAATCTCTTGCCTAGTCCTTTACGTTTCTGAGTTCTGCAGATTGCTGAAATATCTCATTTTTTGGTGGGTACTGTTCTAAGGTCAGGCAGGGTAATCTAGATGCTGGAGCCAGAGGACTTGCTCCACTCCTGGCCCTTGCCAAAGATCGCAGCCCCTGCTTGGTGAGCTCATTTTATATGCAGCAGGATGGCATTGTGGGGAATCTTGTTCACAGGTACTCAGGCAAATCTTAACAGTATCTTTTGGTGGGAGTTATGTGGTGCAAATTTCACCCTAATACATTCTCCACCCCTGTACTGTATCTTATCTATGTACATGTGCCTCAAGACCTCTGATAGAATGCTTCCAGGAGGCATTGACCTCCCACTAAACTTAAAATTAGCTAGGCTTTCCTCAGATCTCTCTCAACGGTAGCTTATCATTCCTTCCATCCACTAGAAGTAACCTGTACTAAGGTCTTCACTGAACCTCATCCTACTCCTCTTTGTTAGGAGATAATGCCCTCCAAATTGGAGCTGTTGTCCCAGGCATATGAAATTGAGCATTGTGTCACATGAGGGATTGTGTCTGGCTGGTAGGGCCATATTAATTATGTCATGTAGGACATAGTGTTTTACTGTAAATGCAAAGAGTGTTTGAGGTCAATGTTTTTATTGTGTTTGTAGGTACGGGTAAAACGACATTTATCAGAATGCTTGCTGGAAGACTTAAGCCCGATGAAGGAGGTACTGTTTCAATGTTAATTCTTTTCACTTTTTTCTATGTAGCATTTGAAGGTCTGAGCCTATTTTAGTGTCTTGATTTTTTTCTTGGTATTTTTCCGTTATTTTACAGGAGAAGTACCAGTTCTAAATGTCAGTTATAAGCCACAGAAGATAAGTCCCAAATCAACTGTGAGTTTATTAAACAAACAAAATTTGTATGTACCTGTTTCTTTAATCTTTTACTCCATTAAGTCTTCTCCATATTAGATGCTGTTTGGTTTTATCCATTTTGAGGATGGCAAAGGACCTGGCAGTATTTCTTTCTGTTGTACATAATGTTGCTCTGAATCGGAACTGATTCAACAGTTCTTTAAAACAAGTTTTAGTTTTTTTAAAAGACGCTAAGGTATGAGGATATGGCCTTAGCTTCATTTTCATTACTAGGAGTAATGTGCTTCAAATCTGTTTCGTATCTTTTCCCAAAGTAAACCTTTAATGGAATTTGTACTGCAAAAATTGGAAAGAGCCCACCGAGTACGAGAAAATCAAGTATAGGTAAACTGCTAAGAGCCAAGACTCACCGGTCTCCCTTATTTTCTGGATCTTGTTTCTTGGAAAGGTTTCCTGTACGTTTTCCTTCACCTAACAGTTTCTGCCTCAGACAAGTTCCAATGTTTGCAAGTTTGACTGTGTCTAATAAGGGACTTGTATTTGTAATATATATAAAGAAGGCTTATATGGGCAGTTTTAAAATGGGCAAAGGGTTTGAATGGGCACTTTTTAAAAGATCTCTAAATGGCCAATAAACATAATAAAAGATGGTTAGCATCATTAATCATTAGGAGACAGCTAATCAAAACTACAAAGGGATATTGTCTTCATTCCCTACTGGCTAAAATTTTAAAGATAGTGAATGTTGGTGAGGATGTGGAATAATGTGAACCCTTATCTATTGTTGATGAATATAAAATGAGAGAGCACTTTAGAAAATAGTTGCCAATTTCTCCATTTAATACAGTTACCTAAGAACCAGCAGTTCTTTTAACAATTTATCTAAAAGAAATGAAGACATGTAAAAGCAAAAAACTTGTAGAGCATTCTTAATGGCTAAAAATTCTAAAAATCCTGATAACCATGAACTGTCAAATGGATAAAGAAAAGGAATAATATTTGGCATTAAAAAGAAATGAAGCGCTGCTATCGTGCAACATGGATGAACCTTGAAAACATGCTTACTACTTTGAAATAAGCTTGCTGCTTTTGTATTTGTTGGTCATAATGGATTTTTAGCAAAATCTCAAAACGTGCTGTCAATAACTTACTATCTGAGCATAATACGTAATACTGTCAGTATCTGTTGGTGGCAAATTGGTGTTCTTTTGCTCTATTTAGCTTCATTAGTAGAAGAGTTCTGTACTGAAATTTATCATTTAAATATTTTCCAACAAAAACAGGGAAGTGTTCGCCAATTACTACATGAAAAAATAAGAGATGCTTACACTCACCCACAATTTGTGACTGATGTAATGAAGCCTCTTCAGATTGAAAACATCATTGACCAAGAGGTACTTTAAAATCATTGGTTTTACTCTTAAACTTTGGTGTTTCTTCATAGCTCGCTAAACATCTTCTCCAAACAGGTACAGACACTATCTGGTGGTGAACTGCAGCGAGTTGCTTTAGCTCTTTGTTTGGGCAAACCTGCTGATGTGTATTTAATCGACGAGCCCTCTGCTTATTTGGATTCTGAGCAGCGGTTGATGGCAGCACGAGTGGTCAAACGGTAAATGTCTTGCCCGTGGGAGTGCATGCAGCTAGTGGCCCGCAAGTGTGCTTAATATCACAGTGACTGTCTTAGAATACAATACTACTACTAAAACAGCTCCTGATTGTTTTCTTTTAGCTTCATACTCCATGCCAAAAAGACAGCCTTTGTTGTAGAACATGACTTCATCATGGCTACCTATCTAGCAGACCGAGTCATCGTTTTTGATGGGGTTCCATCTAAGAATACGGTTGCAAACAGGTAACATGAATTCTGAATGTTCAGTGCTAATGTAAGTTCGAGTGAATAAGCATACAAGTTTCCTATAAGCATTAAAGTAATACCACTTCAGTTTGAAGGAGTTAGTCAGAAACTCTAGCATGATTCTGTGATGCAGGACCATGTAGAATAGTAGTTTTCAGGCTTAATCTGGTATTGAATTCCTGACCCAGGTAAATAAGTATGACGTACTTTAGGCCCCTCACATTTCCTTTTCTTTCGGTTTAATGTTTTTCTGCTTCATTAGTTGAATTTCCTAATAAGATTCACTTGTTTAAAAAGAAAAACTTCCTTAATAACCACTGAAATAGTACATGACAGCATAAGATCCCAAACTGGTTACATGATGTGCCAAACTTTTTTTTTAATCGTTTTACTAGGGGCTCATACAACTCTTATCACAATCCACACATACATCAATTGTGTAAAGCGCATTTGTACATTCATTGCCCTCATCATTCTCAAAACATTTCCTCTCCACTTA